TAGGCACATCACATGCATAAATTTCAAACTCAAATTATTTTTATTGGTAGCCAAAGCTTCTAAACAATAAATCAATATGAGCTGGGCTTTTTTTGCCACATTCAAAAAAGTTTCATACTTCTGCAAGTAGACTTCAAATTTTAAAATACATCATTTGGAACACTATTGTTTACTGGATTAGAAGTACTATATTACTAAAGGCTGTGACTAATTAATTATGAAAATATGCTCTAAATTTCTCTGTTTTGGTGACTTCTAAACGAGAAAATTGCACCTTATTTCTTAGAAAAAACATGCAAACCGACGTCTACAGATCTACAGTTTGCTTTCATCTGCTCTTGATCTTCTAGCTATACAGTTTGCTTTCAACTTCTCTTTGATTTGGATGTATAACACCTACACCCTCCTGTCATTGTGGTTTATTTCCATACTCTCTTCTCCGTGGAAACCGACGTCTCATGCAGCTTCCCCTATTTGGAAATGTATTTGTACCATTTTTGTGCTTGCTGAAGAGAATTCTTTGTCTCCATTAAGGCTGAAAGTCGCATTTATCTTCATTGGGATCATTGGTGTAAAAGGCAATGCTTATTTCAAATTTTGCTTGATCCTCTCAGTATCCCTGGAATAGCCGCATTATTCCATATGGCAATTTGTGGTGAAACATTCACATTTCTCTTTCTCTGTGTCCTTTGTCGTTCACACTTGGAGAATATTTCACATCTCTTTTTTGAATGTGAATATTCGTTTGTTTTTCTCAAGGTCCTGCTACCTCATGTTAACCTTTTTTTTACTTAAGTCGAATTTATTTTAAGTTTTTGAGGCCATTGATAACCTGGTTTGCCCTTATGCTGATGTTAAGAATCTTTTCTTACTCACTGTTTGCTGCTATGTCTATCATATCTGGAGGGAAAAGATTGATAGAAGATTTGGGGGAACTATTGGTAGTGTTGATACCATTGTGCTGAAAATCAGGAAAGCTGTTAGGATGAAAATTTCAACATGGAAAAGCTGGGATTCTATAAAAGGCGATATTTAATTTGTTGTTCAATCAAATTTGCTGCTCATTTATGCATTCTGTTGGAAGCTCCGGCTCTATGTTCTCTACTGTTGTATCGTTATTACTGTGAGGCATTTTTTCTATGCCTCTTTTGGGATTTCTCATGTTCTCGATGACCGTAATTTGTGATGAACCCACTGCGCTTTTCATTTTTTGGTCTGGTGGGATATTTTTTTAACTTCATGGACAATGATGAATTGATGATCATCCCTTTGATACTGAAAATTATTAAGCAATTTCTTTTTAAGAAAAGAGAACCACTTGATCGTACTCCAAATAAATCTAAATCAAATACGGAAAGTTATAATTAAAAATGGTTTTAAGAACATTGGATTTAGTCAAAAGCATTTGAAATATTTTATGTTGAATTGGTAAATCATATGGGCTCAAGAACATCATATTTAGGAGAAATTATTATGTATTGTTATCCAACGGTGTTCAGAAGTAAATGAGAATGTGCCACGTTATTTTTTTGGCCTAGAGGAAAATGGGAATGTGACACATTATTTTTTTAGTGTGTACCGTTGTTGTATACCGCTCGGTACCAGGTGACGCGACGCATTTTGATTCGGCTTTAGACCGTTTGGTGACCGCATAGAATAAATTATTCATATTACGAGGTATTAAAGCATTGATATTAAAAATTTATATTCCAAAAAAAAAAAAATATTCCCAAAATTTATTAAATATTTAAAATGAATCTCTTATGCAAGTCTAATGGAGCACCAAGAATTCCGAGGTATTAAAGCATTGCTTCTCAAATCAATTTTTAGTGCAAAATTTTTATTTTTTATATTAAAAAGCTACTTTAAAAAGCAATAAGAAAGACATCCCAAATATAATCTTAGTTGCATTCTTGTAGTGAATCACTTCAATTTAAAAATATAGATAATCATATTATAGAAACTGATTAAAGAAGAGAAGGAAATTATGATATGAATGGGTTTAGCATTAGAAGAGATGGGTAGAAGGTAAGGCTTCTTTGATCCCCATTTAATCTACTTTCTTCCTCCCAGATCTTTAATGAAATTGTGACACTCAATTCCATTATTAAAGAGGAGATATTTACATCTGAAAGGTAAGTCAAGCAAATCAACAGCATAAACTCTATTTTTCAAGAGACAAATGAGAATAATACTTAAGAGATTCCAATCATAAATAAATTTTTGAGAGTACTTAACCTCATTAAGAATTATAAAGATTTCATTCAATAGCGATGATTAAAAAAAAAAAGATTTTTATACTAATCGTTACAAGTTAGTCAAGATTTAGGAGCAACAACTTTATCCATTGTTAAGAGCTTCCTAATCTTACTAGCAATTTTTTATATAACTACAAAGTTCTAGCAAGAAAAAGGGGGTTGAGAAACTCAAGCTTTATCAAACTATAAGAAAATTTTCTTAAATAGGCTTGAAGTTAAGAAGCCCTTTTTTTATAAGATAAAAGACTTACTATTTATAAACCCAAACTCATTCATTCAAAACATGTCAAAGTCTTCAAATTATTTAAATTTAAATAGAAAAAAAAATCTCTAGAAAGTGTGAGATGATTAATCAAACTTGATGGAATAGTGGAGCCTATAAGAGAAAAGTTTGACTACCAAAACATTCATCCAAAACACCTCAAATAAATTAGAGTCAATTAGAGATATGAGCTTCATTTGTGACTGCTTTTTTACAATAATTTTTATATTAAAAATTTACTTTAAGAAGTAGTAAGAAAGCCATCATAAACGAAGCATATATCTAGAGGTGATGGGAAACAAGGCAACCAACCCTCCAATCAACTAGATGGACATCGCAATGGGGAGAGATGATGAAGGCCGAAAGCAATCCCTATTTAAAAGTTCTATAGAAAATGGCTTTAATTATTTAGAAGGCGATTGAAAAATCGAATAGATTTTTTGTATTAGAAAGCTGCTTTAAAAAAACAGCAAAAAAACTATCCCAAAAGAGACTTCGTTTGGAATAAACTTTTTTAATACTTTTTAAAATAAATTTTTAATACAATTTTTTTTTTGAACTCGAAATTGATGTAAAAAAAAAGAGCCTTAAAAATAATAAAAAAAATTATCTCAAACAAAGCTTAAATCAAATTCAGAATCAAAATAAAATTTTGCATGTGATGCTTCACGGTCTCTTTCCATGCTCTTGCTAATTCACATGAGAAAACACTGGAAAGCTCAGATAAACTTCAGAAAACTGATATTTGATCATAGAAATACTTCAAAACATATTGAAGTTTACTTCCATGACAAGTGATCAGAATTTGAGAGGCCGAAGAAAAGTAAAGCCTCATGGGCCAATGATGTTGTGCTGTTTTAGCGATCTGGAATATAATAAAAAGTAAAATACCTTGCTCAGATAAAATTATGATGTCAATTGTTAAAAAACTGGAGTAGTATTTTTAAGGAAAACAAGATGATCATTCTCAAGAGCCAACTATAATGAGCTCTATATATAAATAAATTACACCACTGTTGCTTAAGCTAATATAGGCTTAGGATTCGCACAGAAGGGTTAGAATTACAATTCCTTCCCCTTGGGAAGTACCAAAATATCAACTACTTTAACTAAAACTTTGAGAATATTAGATTTCATACGTCATACGACTCACGATCCTCATTTAGGATCTGCTTGGGACGACTGTAACATCTTGTAAGGTGATTGTAAAGTTATTGTAGGAAAAATAGCTTTTTTGAAAGCTGCTGTAAAAAGCAGCTTCTTTCTAACACAAAAATTTCTGATAAACTATGATAAAATAATAAACAAACAGAATTATAGTTGTGATCTAAAAAACAAAACGATAATAAAATTGTACCAAACAGACCCTTAGAGAAACAAATTGAGTCAAAAGCTCCTAATGCAATTCTGCATCAGTACTGTAAAACAAATAGGTAGACCATAAGCATATTTGAAATTATGAATGAATAATAGAGTGAGGAAAAAAATGTTTAAGTCTAATTAGAATACATGCAATGCGGATGTTGGTCCTCTCCAATTATTATGATAATTAAATAATGTAATCACCTCGCTGTTGATGGCTGGAATTCAATCCACTAATGCTTGAAAAAATAAAGTAGCTAAATTGTAGTTATTTAAAGAGAAATTTATAGCTGAAATTGAGGTAATTGCACAAATACAATTATTATAATAATTGGAGAGGTTCTATATCCAGTAGAGGTTTTTTTCTTATTTTGAAATCATTAAGGGCTTTGTTTGGGACGACTTTCTTACTGTTTTTTAAAACAGTTTTTTAATACAAAATTAAAAAAATTTATGCTAGAAAACTACTTTAAAAAACAATAAGAAAGCCGTCTCAAACGAAGTCGAAGGGAAGGGAAAGAAAACCTGAATTGAATAAACAACACATCGATATCTTCCTCTTCTTTGATAGAAAGTAGAAAGCTGATTTATGATACAGTAAGGCTGTGGTCGATCTCAAATCTGCTCAGGAAAAACTTTCTCCAAGAAACTGATGAAACGTCTTGAATACAGCTTGGGATCTACAGCAGAGATGGTGAGGGGATCATTTTTGAGTGATTTGCAGGTATGCTCCACTTTCTTTGTTATGTCATATTCTTGTAGTATGTCTATTATGCCGAGATAGAGAACAACGTCGTAGACCTCAAAGAGATCAACTTCTGGAGAATCAGGACCCTCGTTATGAAGCAGCTTTTGATTAGCTTGAGCTGGCATGTTCACTCCGAGCTGCACGCGGAGCCTGTTAATTAAATAAAAAAATTAATTAATTAATTAAATGGTGAAGCCTGTAAGAAAATGATGCTAATTTCACATTTTTTTTTTTTAAATTTCCAACTGAAATCTAACATGATAAATTTTTAGGTAGGTGGATCAGGCTCAATCGTGGACTAGTGCAAGGGCTTGATCGCGAGCTGGTGCGGGAGTGAGGCCTTCACCCATGAGGCGTTTTGCCTAGCCAGAAGCGGGAGTTGCTCGCGGACAGGAGGCTGGTTCGGCGTGAGGCTCGCGTATTAGGGCTGATCGGGCAGGGTTGTTGGGCCGCGATCGGAACAAAGGCGAAGGCGATTGGGTCTTTGTGTGGGTTTTGGTCGAACGGAACTCGAAGACAACTACAGGCCGTGAGTTGCAGGCGGATTGGAGGATTGTGGAAGATTGACGAAACAAGGTAAGCGAACATAATGAGCGTCTCTTTTTGTTTCCTCGTATATTTATCATTGAATTGGTGAGAGGGAGTTATAGTGTGAAGGGATGTGTTGTGTGGCGACCAACTGCTCGATGTGGGGCCGTAATGGATAGATGCTTCTCTTCGATTTTCCTTTTCCTAATTTCGTTCAACACCCATGTGAGGCCCATCACACTAAAATACATTCATATAAAAGCAAAATCATATGACATTATGAAAAATGTGATAAATTTCCAATTCCTCTTCATTGTCATTGGATCCATAACATACAGGCAAGTGGATAAAAGGCGATATTTTAAAATTAAAAATGACTTCACAAACATTTCAAATGACAAATGTTTGCTTAAATAATAAAAAACAAAATATTTTTCAATTGAGTACGCCCACCTCAAGATAATATTCGAACTTATGGGCTGTTTGGTTGCCTGAAAAAGAAATGCAGTGTAAAGTAAATGCAATGTATACTGTATTCCGAATACTTTGTTACTGTTTGGTTGTCTGCAAAATAAATGCAGGAGAATGATTTCCCTTGTTTGGTTAGGTATATCCAGAGTAAAGTAAAAATGATGTATTTGTAATAATTTATTTCAAGTAATGTTTTTACAAAAAAAAAATTCAGCTAATTAAACAAATTATGATATTATACGTCTTCAAGATACATCACTTCTCTGAGTCACAAAATTTTATCACATGTACATAAATTCTATAGAAAACTCCATAAAAGAGGGGATGATGCATGACCTTATCATGTTCAAACAAACCCAATTTCAAATATTATGGTACAGAGAAATTATTTCACCACATAGAACCTTTATAAAGCGAGGCAAAGCAAGACATAAAGACGAAGGGAGAAGGCAAGAAATAGAGATAGCAAATCACCATTACCGATCTACTGGGTATAGCAATTTCTAAGAAGAATATGACCAAAATCCAGCCAAACAGCATAAATGAGATTTTTAAAACCAACATAATCTTAAATTTCGTTTCTCACCCGTTTTATCTTAAATCCCCTAATAAGTAAATCAAGGCATCAGAAATTTCACACGTCGCTGCTTCTGCTGATGCTTCTTCATCGATCTTACCCAACATTCGTCAAGGATTTACAGAATTTTGATTTGGGGGAGAAAGACGAGAGTTTCGAAAACTAGCTTAAAAGTCTGTACGGAATTAAGCAGGATTTAGCTTAAAAACCTTTCACGCCAACTCTTTTGTTGCTACGGTAGATGCCAAAGGAAGGGCGCATAAGTAAAGGAGGCTTGTCGATGATAACGCGCACAACAGACTTTAGGGTACAGAGACATGCTAGTTCTCACTAGGTTCGAGCTCGTCGTTATGGTTGCACACTTCTCCAATGACCTGAAACAGATGAGGAGACGGGGAGGGTGACTGGAAGGGCAGCGCCGCTTCGCGTTTATCGGAATCAGACCGGTGAGTTGGTCCAGCGGATGAGCTTCTCACAATCCGTATCAAAATAGATGATCCGGCAGAGGGTGAGTTGGGTTGAGAAGGTGACGGCGAGGCTGACGATGGTGAAGAGGCCCATGAAGACGAGGAGGCCGATTATGCCGTGGATTTGGTCGCGTTGGCTTCGATTCCTGGCTGCTGCGAATGGAAGCGACGAAACAGGGGTTCAACCTCGCGCGATGGTTTTGCGAGACTCTCCCTTCTTCTCCGTTCTTCCCACCCGCTTTGTGCTCTGCGCTTTCTCATTATTTCGCGCGAGGACTTCCAAACCCGCTCAATTTGAGCGGGTTTTGAAGTCGCATGAAAGAATAGTTAAAAGAAGATCAACTTCTGGCTCTTTGTCACCATCGGCTGATGCTCTTAATGTGCTGCCCCTAATATGTGAGCCTGGCATGCTGCTCACAGATCCAGGTTCATGAGCAACCAAGAGCAAACCCTTTGGAGGAATTATAAACTCGTCCCGCTTTGGTGCACCAACTGTGCCACAATGGGCATTAAATCAATGAAGAAAACTGTAGGAAGTTTTCATGATACAAAAGTATGAAACAAGACATGTTAAAAAACAACTAAATGTAGTTGAATTAAGAAACTAGGGTTCAAAGTGCATTGTTCTGAATAACAGCCTTTCTTTTATATTGCCTTTGAGCAGTTTTATTTGGTTACAAATATAACGCTACTTCTTAAAAAAAAATTTATAGTGAGGTAACACTGAAAGGATAAAATGTCCTTAAAAAAATGAAAAAAAAAAGTTAAAAAGGTGGTGCTACTCAGAAATATTAGAACAGCTAATTTACTAAACCATACAATATAATTTAATGGTGCATCCGTGCATGTAAGGAGCCAACTTTAAGTCCAGTTTCAATAATTCAATTTAACAATTCCATCATTGGTAGTCGTTACAGACAAGTCTGGTATAGACATATTAGGAAATCACCTATAGGGAACAAAATGGAGGGCCAAAATAGTAAGGAAGAGGTGAAGGAGTCTCACCGATCACAGTCATTATTTAAGACACGAGGAGGTTGAGTGATAAGAGCAAATTGGAAGGCAAAGGAGGCATATCCAACCTCAGTAAGGGTGGCATGTTTGTGGCAAAGAGCCTCAAAATAGGTATCTGTTAGACCAGCCCATTGGATTGGTCCAGCCGGTCCACGCGGGACCGGCCCAGGCAAGTACGAGGCGGAACATCTCCGCCTCTTCCGTTAGCCGCACGCACCGCGAATCCCTGGGAGCTCATTTAGGAAGGTTTTAGAACAGATTCTACGAGAGAAGTTGAATGTAGGGATTGTTTAGGGATTTCCTTTTGATTTGTATGCATTAAATACTTTGTTTTCCTAGGGTTAGGGCATCTTGAATTTGCCTGAAATTTGAGATCTAGATTTAAGTTTTTCTTTGGGCTCTAGCAGCGTCTAGAGATTTGGGAGAGATCGATCCTCCTCTCGAATATAGGATCAATTGTATCTTGCTATTTTTCCGTTCCCTTTCATCAAATAATACAAATTATCTACTGTTTTTGTGATTTTGTGTGGAGAACTCTTGCTGTTCTCGAAGATTGATAAGAAATACTTAAGATCTACACGTGTTTCCTATCAAATTGGTATCAAAGCAAGTCTTGGGGCCGTTTGTGGGCTGATTTGGGCAAACTTCAGCAGCTGAATTTTGATCGAGAAGAGACGAAGTTGCTGTTTTTGCAATCAAAATCCTGAATTTTTGAATTTGCAAAAGTTCAGATCGAGATGGCGGCAAAAATAGTGGATACCCTGGAGGAAAGGCTTGAAGGAGAGATGAATCAAATCAAGACGACAGTGGAGGAAATGATTTCCTCCAACGAAGAACAAGTTGCCGATCTCCGGGTCATGATGAAGATGTTAGAAATTCAAAAGTAAACGGCTTCTGTGGCGAAAAGAGTGGAAGGAAAAAATACGAATTATAAAATTCGTAGGGAGGAAGATGAGGTGGAAATCATGGAAGGAGAAGGAAGAAGACCCCATCTGGTGCCTATCCAGAGGGAAGAAAGGGGAGGTGGATACGGGGAACGCCAGGAAGGATACTATGGCCGCCGAGGTGCTGATTTTGAAGAAAGGGGGATTTCGAAGGGGGTTGGGGCTATGGCAGAGCAAGGGAAGATCGGGAAACATGGGGTGGACCTAGCACTTGGGAGAGGGGAAATTATGGGAGAATCAGGGAAAATGGTGGCGACCAGAAGGTGAGGAAGTTGAAGATGCCCATATTCTATAAAACCCTTAAAAAGCTGATTTTTTTTAGTGTTGTTAGTCCGTACGAACTGGCCTTAGTCACAGACGAACTGAAGAAAATTGTGAAGAATCTGTACGAACCTGGAAGGGTCGGGACGAACTGAACCCGAGAGCATCGTCCAGGGACGAAACAAATTGGAATTAATTTCGCTGTACGATCCGTGTCCAGAGGAGTTCGTCCCGGGACGATCTAAGCATTGTCCTGGACGATCCTGCTTGATAAGTATCGGATTTGAGATATTTTGGAAATATTTTGAGGAGAGAGAAAGAGCAGGAAAGAGAAAGGGAAAGCTTGGTTTTGGAGGCCGCGGAGCGCTTTTCGTCCGACGACGCAGTTGAAAGATTTGTTTGTCTCGCAGTAAGGACTCCGAATCCTATTTCTGATTTCGAAGATTTCGAGTTTTGATAATTCTGTGCTCAGTTTTGTGTTTCCGTTACCGAATAACGCGCATAATTTTATATTGACGAAAGTTTTACCGCACAACTTTTGATATGTTTCTGATATGATATTTCTGCACGATTTGGGTATTTTCTGTAAAGTTTCTACCGGTTATTTTGAGTTCTGTGCGATTTTAATCAAATAGAAAATTTTCTGGTTGTTGAAAAATGTTGCTTCAGTACAAGTAAAGCTTTGAAATGTTGTTTTATTCGACTTCTGGTAATTTGGTAATTTTCGGGAATTGTGCATTTTGAAACCACGTCTGTCTACTATACGATATTTTAAGGGGTTTTTCTGCATAGAGCTGAATTGTATTTATTGATTGCAATACCTTATTGATATGCATACGAATGTGCATATATGATTGAATTATTTTTATTGTTACTGAAAGACAAGTGAAGACTGGTTGAACCGTTGGTTGGAGATTGATTTGACATGTACAAGATGGTGGGCCGACGGGCTTTCCTTTAAAAAGGGTTTGACGATATCCTCTATTGATCATTTGATATAACGATTGAGAGTCATAAGGAGATTATTATGCCGGCGGGCGGCCGACGGGCACAGAGTGATGACTCTTATTGAACCAACGGATATAACGACACAACGATACATCGATACCGAAAAACGCCTTAATAGCCAGTGATTGTACTTGTTTAGTAAGACTATTGTATTGAATTGCATGTGTACAGAATTGTCTTTATGATATCTATGGATTCATGGATTTATTGATATCGACGAATTTGTATTGAAATTTATTATTGACGGATTTATGTATTTACTCTTACTGTACGATTTCATTGATATTCGCATTATGTCACTAAGCATTGATACTGATACTGATATGGATATCGATATTGCATTGACTTATTGATACTATGGACATGGATACTATCGATTCATTGATATTGACTCATTGATACTATCACTTCATTGATACACCATATTAAACTGCTGCATGTGATTCATTGACTGATATGGAATAGGTTTTACTGAATTGATTTGATTTCAACCGTTCTTGCGGTGTATTGGTTTGATTGTTTTATATGATTTCATACCGATTGATGTTATTGACCAGAGATAATTGATTTGATTGATTCTATTGATACGATATTGATTTAACGGTTATTATTGAGATGACGATTTTCCTCTATTGATTTGATTGGATTCTTACGAGATTTATCGTATGTACTGATTCATTGAGCTTTATGGATTTCTTCATACTGTTTATCGATTCTTTTACCGATGCTTGTGGATTGTATCGATTATGCATTGATTACTGATTTTTCGTATCTGCTGCATATATTCACTGATCATGTGCAACTGATTGTTATGGATTTGATGGACTGACATGCATATTATTTCAGTACCGTGCTTTGATTTTAGTTGTAGGTATTAGGTGACCTGCTGGGCTTTTTGAAGCTCATTATATGTGGTTAACAATTTCAGGTCTGAGCAAGGGAGCAGGAAGTGATGGTTGATCAAGACTGTCGACGAATCCTTTCACTATGGATGCCTGGGGCGTCACATATTCGAAGGAGAAAATGCGTACGAATGGATTTATAAGGTCGAACGATACTTCGTCGTCAATGGGCTGACGGAGGAGGAGAAGCTTACAGCAGCGGGATTGTGCTTGGAAGGAAAAGCCCTATCATGGTTTCAGTGGAGAGACTAGAGGAGGCCTATCTGGAACTGGAGGGAATTCAAAGACTGCATAATAAAACGTTTTCAAACCGACCGGGGAGGAGATTTCTATGAGTAGTTATTTGCTCTGATGCAGGAGGGATCAGTAGCAGACTACTGCGGTTCGAGCACCTGGCTAATAAGGTGGAGCGATTATCATATATTGTATTGGAGGAAAACTTCATGAAGGGGTTAAAGGCAGAGATCCGAGCAGCAGTGAAAGTTCTAATGCCTAGTGACTTGGGGGAGGCCATGAAGTTGGCACAACTGGTGAAAAATCAGAAGAATCTGGAGAAGGGAGCCAGAAGCAGCAACTTAGGAGGCTCTTACAAGACTACGACCACTCTTCTAGCACCCAAGAGGCCTGCACCAAGCAACATTAATGAGACCACTAGGTTGAAGCCAATAGGAGGGAGTGGGAAAAATTTCAAGAGGTTGACAGAGAAGGAGATGCAGGAGAAGAAAGAAAGGGATTGTGTTTCAGGTGCGAGGAGAAGTATACACTAGGGCATCAATTTAAGGATCGAACTCTTCAGGTTCTCACCGTCTGCGATGACGAGGAAACTAAGGGAGGTGAGGAGGAGACAGAGGAGGAGATGGAGGAGAAGCTACACTTGGATATGGCTGGGGTTTCCCTGAACTCAGTGGTAGGATTCACTATGAATCATACCATGAAGGTGAATGGGGAGATAGAGGGAAGGAAGGTGGTTGTGCTAATTGATAGTGGGGCTACCCACAATTTCATTTCCATTCAGGTCGTCGACCAATTGGGAGTGAAATTGGTGGACACCGATTGTTATGGAGTGATGATGGGTACATGGAAGGTGGAGAAAGGCCATGGGATCTATGAAGGAGTGGTGTTGACCATCCAGGGGATTCAGATAAGGGAGGACTTTCTCCCACTAGAGTTAGGAACTGATGTCATCCTGAGGATGAAGTGGTTGCAAACCTTAAGGGAAACCAAGGATAATTGGGGAGCACTCATGATGGAACTAATGGTGGATGGGAGAAATGTGGTTATAAGGGGAGATACAGGGCTATCCAAAGCCATGATATCACTTAAGACCATGATTAGGAGCCTACAAGAGGTGGGGGAAGATTTT